CTCTATCCATTGAGCTAACCGCCTCCCGGTTAGCTCAATGGATAGAGCGCTGGACTGTTGTGCGGGAGGTCGAGGGTTCGAGCCCCGGCCGGACCAACACTCAAGGTCTTAAAATAATTGAGAAGAATATGCTACCTTTCTATAACATCAAGAAATGGTTAGATATTCTAGTCTTCTCGGATAGGGACGAATAAATGGAGGTCCCGTCTCCTGCAGGGTTAGGGGAAGGAGACGTTAATTTCCCACGCACGAGATTACTGTGTGATGGATGTCCTTCCCTGGGGTAGGATGGGTGGGATTTATTGGGTGGACTACTCGCATGGTTCGCATATGTTCCGTTCTAGTCCTACCCTACTGTGGTAATGCAGTGAAAATGGTTAGAAGAAAAAAAAACATACTTATAGGAGAATTTTAATAGGCTTTGATGATCATTTTTTTTCTGTTATTTAAAAACAACAAATACTCAATGCTTGAAATGAACATTCTTCCACAGGAACGTCTTGATTCACTCATCAAGTTATGGGAATTGCTTCTTTCCAAATCAGCAGAGAAAGGCCGCATGCTTCTCTTTACTCAGAAAAGAGTCCACTTTCTGCATGAAACGGAAGAAGTTATGTCATGGATTTTAGAAAAAGTGAGTCATGATAAAACATGTAGATATTTTAAATGTTCATTGCAGACATTTTCTGCAGCAGTAATATTGCATTCCAGCCTCGGTAACAGAAAGCGTTTCCATTTTTAGTCTATCCCTGTGTATGTTAATGTAGAAAATTTAAAAACAGGTAGAGCAGTACTTCTGAAAGTTCGTACAATATTTGATAAACATTTTTTAAATGTAGGGTGACTGCCTTTTGTAAGGATTTTCAGTTTGATTGAAAGAGCTACAGTGTGTATCAGTAAAATTGAGATCGTAACTGGTAGAATGCCATTACATAGTAAATGTTTCCCATTTATTATTCAGGAAGCAATTGCCACTTCTGAAGAAGTAGGAAGAGACTTGGAACATGTGGAAGTTCTTCAGAAGAAATTTGATGACTTCCTGAAGGATATGCAGGCTAATGAGTCAAGGGTGACATACATCAATGAGCTCGCGCATCAACTTGGTGATGAGGGTCATCCAGATATAGAACTGATCAGTACAAAGCAGGCGGTGAGAACTCAAATCTTTGTTGATTTAGGAGTATCGAGAAAAAATAAACTTGAATTAGGTACATGTATCTAATACACTATAGACGATTCAAGGAAAACTTCTTTTTATTTCAGTGGAGCATGCATCATGATAAGGCATGTCTAATAATGGTCATACCCTTTTGCGTTGAGGGCACCTTTACCTTTACCTGGACTGTTGTATTTCTGTTATGATTGATTTTAGTTCCCTCCTTTGAAAATCAAATGTGTTTGTTGATAGTGCCTCAAGAAGATGCTCCTTTTTAGGTGCATATCTGCAACTTAAATCAAACTCTCTTGATGCTGGTACTGCCTTTAAGACCAACCGTCCAATAGAAAGGCCTTCAATTTACAAGGGTTTGATACAAGTTAATTTCCTGGTTTGGTTTTGTAGGAAGTCAATGAAGCGTGGGAAAGACTGAAGATGCTGGCACTTAAACGTCAGAAGAGACTGGCTGGTGCCCAGCAGATTCACAGCTTCTATCGGTAAGGATTCTTGTCAATCTTGGTGATGCTAATGTCGCTTTGTTCTAGCATGAGCAAGGTACTTTTTTTATGCTTAATTTCATTGGTAATATCAACTAAGTTGAAATTGTAAATTGGCCACTACAAAGAGTTAAAAACCTGATGTTTCAAGTGTTACAACCCTGAAATAGGGTTTTAATCAAAAACTGCAGAAGCAGGAGAATTGTTTTTGGTGACAGAAAATATTCTCCAGGTCTGAAACAAATTTTGTTCAGGTCGTCAAAATATAGACAGAGAATTTTATGCTGTGGCTAGAGAATTCTTAGATCTCTGATGCCTTCATGTGTGTAACATCTTGTAATTGTAGAGCTTGGGTCATTAACGTAGCTATAATGCAACTTATGTTGAAGTTCCTTTTTAGAACTGCAAGAACTAAATGTGATTGATTCTTTAAATATCATTAAAACACATGTACATGTGTATGTAGGAGTTGCTTTAAGCATGAACTGTTATTACCATTTTCGTAACAAATAATTGAGTAAAATTAAATCTGAGTTGTGGTCAAATATTTTCAAACTAGAAGGTTGACTTATACATGTATTTGTCTTTGCTTGCTAGAGTATTGTGAGAATTAATATGGAACCAAGGAAAGTACATAAAAAAAAAAAACAGTTGAAATCATTTTGACATTAAGTCATTTTAAACTACAGCATACACAGATATTATTTTAACAGTTTTTTGTACACATGCCTCTAACAATGACACTTTGATTCAACTCTTATTTACTAGTGATGCTGATGAGACCAAGAACTGGATAAATGAAAAAGACAAAGTTTTGTCATCAGATGATTATGGAAAAGATCTGGCCAGTGTTAATGCTCTGTTACGCAAACATGAAGCTATTGAAAGAGATTTGGCTGCAGTGGAAGACAAGGTAATTTCTGTTTTCCCCAGAAAGCTGACTTTTTCATTTCACTTATTAAAACATAGACTTAATCAACAAATAGAAACAGACCTGACTGTATTTTAATTTTAGATATTAAAACTGACTAATCACAACTGGAAAACATCATTCTTGTGTTTTAAAGCCAACAAAATTTTGACAAGACTGAACCATCAGTCTTCGGAAACCAAACATAAAATGTTACACAGACTGATCACCAATGACTTATTCTCTCCACTCTGGTAAAGACTTCAACTCCGATTTTTATCATATCAGTCACTGTTAGCATCAACAGTCCTTTACCCTTGCTCAGATGACTAGGCTGGGATTGATAATTTCAAATCTGTCAACTGAGTGCTGAATACTCCTTTTTTAGGTCACAGCCCTTGGTTCAGAATCTGCACAGCTGCAAGAGGCACATCCAGAAAGTGCAGATGAGATAGCTGCCAAGCAAGATGAAATTGTAACTGCATGGGGAAATCTCAAGGAGAAGGTGTTGTTCAAAGTCTTTGTACTGTTAGCTTAGTGGTAAAGTACCTGAAATCCCAGGGTGTTAGTCTCAATTCCCCTTGGAGGCCTAGAATCTTTTTTCCTTTTTCCTGCATTCATGTCAAGACAAAGAATATATTTCTCTATTTCATTTCCAAGCTCAAAATTTACCACCTTTCCTGTTCTAATAACACATCAGAACTGCTATTCTTGTTAAGGATTCACTCCATGTATGTTATTTACACAGTATAAAGGATTTGTCATATCTAACTGAACATTGTATATAATGATATCTTTCAGTCCGGGGTTCGAAAAGCAAGGTTGGAGGATTCTTATCGCCTGCAAAGGTTCATCAGTGACTACAGGTGAGAGTCATCAAGAGTTTTCAGTGATATACACCAAGGGCTGCGGCATACACGCAAACTCTCTTGTTAGGTTACAGTGTTCATAAGATATATGGTGTACATGTGACTTTCCAACCTTCATCCGTTTGATCAGATTAACAGGACTTCTCTTGTGAAAATGTGAAGTATTCAGAAAAGGGCATGACTGTGGTGAGGTTAGCAAAAGCTGTCTAGTTGACCAATGTCATGTAAAGGGGCTCTCAGACATGTTAGATCTTTATGAATGCACATCATCTTAGGCAGGGAGATTCAAAACTGTTGATGTATCCACACTGATCTGTTGAGGGCATATGTTTTCCAACTGACCCATATTAGAACATGTATGTGCTCTTACTTTTCTTCAACCAACAACATGTATTTTATTTCACTTGATTTTAGGGACCACATTTCTTTTATCAATGAAATGAAAGTCTTGATTCAAAGTGATGAACTAGCAAAAGATGTAGCCAGTGCAGAAAGTCTCCTGGAACGTCATCAGGAACACAAGGTGAATATCATTTTTAATTTGACTAATTTTGTCTTGTAGTCTTTATGTAAACATCTTTATGTAAACATGTAATTCTTTCCTTTCATCCATTAGGGTTACATTGATGCATCTGAGGATGGGTTCAAGAAGTTTGCTGATGATGGAGAAGAACTTGTCAATTCCAATCATTATGCTAGCGATGAGATCAAAGAAAAGGTACTGACTAAAAATTTTCTCTTAAATTTGTTTCATACTTGTAGCAGTGTGTTCAACAACAACAGTTATAACAATAGATATATATTTATCATGCCCTAAAGGACACCTGATGCACTACATGTAATTACCTATCATTTTTTAATTATTGCCTTTGTGTTTTGCAAGGACACTCTCTGAAGCATATGTTAATATGTAAACAGGTGTTTACTCTAAGTGTTTAACTCTTTGACCTCTTAAGAGTGATGAGCATCTAATTTCTCCTTACAATATCACCCCTGAATCACACATTAAGGTCAGGAGGATTAAGAAAATGATCACTTACTAAACAAGCTTTTGATTGTTAAACAAATTCTCCTTATCAGTACCTCAGGAAATGTTTAAATAATGGTATGGAGAATATGCAGACTGATGTAAGAGTACAAAGGATTGACAGGCATGCAGGTGTTTTATTCCAAATGTTTAACTTTAATTTGCTCTCCTTTTAGCTTACCAGCCTGGAGACTGAAAAAATGGAACTGTTGGAGCTGTGGGAGAGGAGACGTGTACAGTTTGAGCAGTGTATGGAACTGCAGCTTTTTAATCGGGATTGTGAGCATGCAGATGCCACTATGTCTAAACAAGAGGTTGGAATACATTTGTTTGATCATGTGGTATATAATTTAACCCTAAAATGTTCACATTGATCTTCACAGGACTTAGATTCATCATTGTCTTTTGAAGTAGGCACAGTGTGGAAGTATCTACTTGTAAATTGTTTATTTCTGCCCTTATGTATATTTTATTTCTGCCCTTGTTTACATTCTGTGGCCAACTTGTAACATCAACCTGTAACATTGAATTTTCTTACTCGTAACAGGTGTTCAGCTAAGGCTATAGCCCTTAATGGCAGCCCAGTTACAAGCATAAACTCACTTTTTCTTAAAACTAAATTCAGTTATTGCATCCATCTTCGCTCTTGGGGAGAAAAAATAAGTTTGTGTAAGCTACAGGTTCCTTGTTGCATTAATCAATTATTCTCCAAAGTAGAGGTGAATAATGGTGGATATCAACAGAGCAGTGAAGCATTGAGATTAATATCCACCACTTCACTGACACTGAAACCACACAAACCAATCAAATTAGTTTCTTTCTGTCAAAACACCAACGAATGGTAAGAAATTTGTTGTGCACAATTTTGTTTCTTTGGCAGCTTGGGGGGAATATCACTTATCACTTTCAAACCAGCCAATCAGCATGCAGGAAAAGAACTATTCACTTGTGTGTTGAATGCTAATGGATGTTGTGACAAGTGTGGCTGCAAAAACAGTTTTATTGCATCTTCAACGAGGAAAATGTTTAGGAATTGCATTTTTGATCCTAGTACATTATACAGTCAGGGCTCGACACTAACAGTAGCCAACTAGCCACAGACTGGTAGAAATTCAGTTTTGGATAGTGATTTTTGATTTCCACTGACCAGTATGGCTAACAAACAAACTGAAATTGTTGTAACATCTAAGTTGTCACTAGCCACTAGGCTAGTAAGTTAAAAAGTTTGTGTCAATCCCTGACAGTGCTGTTAAAGAATGAAGATGACAATGCAATTTGGCAAAAAGACATTAAATCATTTGTATTTTCTCTTCTTTATGATAAATTTTATATTGGGGGAGTTTTTGTTCTCATCTTATTCACTGAACATTATTAACAGGCATTCCTTGCTGATGATAACCTTGGGGATTCCCTAGATGGAGTAGAAGCACTGATCAGGAAGCACGAAGACTTCGACAAGTCTTTTGCTGCCCAAGCAGAGAAGATTAATGTAAGTACATGTACATGGCAGCAGTTACTGTAACATTTTTCACTGGATTTACAAAGAAGTTTACTGTTCAGTACCTTAAGTAAAAAAGAATAAAACTGCTCAGGGACACAAGCTTTGCTCTTGGTCTGACTTTTCTTTGATGTCTCTTATAAAAAGCTCTCTGCATTCAGGCAAGCATTCTTCCATCATTAGAAAAAAAAACTTCTGGACTGCATGATATTTTTACTCACAATAAATGATGAATTTCAGTAGTGTAAGTTTATCCAGCATGTCATCTATTCTTTGTTCCTCCATCTTTCAGAGTATTGATGAGTATGCAAACCGCCTCATTGACAGCAATCACTATGCATCAGATGAAGTGCGTGACAGAAGGGATGCTATAGTGGAAAGGCGTAAAAACATTATGGAGTTGTCTAAGGCACGCAGGCTGAAACTTGAGGAATCCCGTAAACTGCAGCAATTTGAAAGAGACTGTGACGAAGTCAAGAGCTGGATTACTGAAAAGCTGAAGATTGCTAAGGATGAATCTTACAAGGTGAGAAATAATATTTTCCCTACACAAAAACATGAGGATAATGTAATATCCACCTCCACCTTCATTATAAGTCCACAGTTGAGCATTCGAGGCCTTTTGCAAGTCAGCACATCTTCATTTAAACTTCACATGGTTGGGGGAATTCAAAACTCTTCTACAAATTTTAGACTGAGTGTAATGTTGGTAAAACTTTTGAGAATCCTCCCATCTTCACAGTGTAAGTGTTTGCAAAATTAATGATTAATGTATAAACAAGGAAAAAAGTCCTTTATTGCTCGTGGAAGAATTCTTTAACATTTGAGCAAATCTCAAATCTGCCATCCAATCACAATTGTATAAGGCATTGTTTGTAAGGGAATATCATATTTGAAATTTTCAGGATCCAACCAATCTACAAGGAAAAATCCAGAAGCACCAAGCATTTGAGGCAGAGTTGAATGCCAATCAAAGTCGGCTTGATGCTGTTGACAACACTGGTGAACAGTTAATTGGAGATGAACATTATGCCTCAGATCAGATCAGAGAGAGACTTGATGAACTGCACAAGTTGTGGACCTATCTGTTTGAGAGATCAAATGATAAAGGTACTCTACATGTGACTTAATTTTTTTAAGACATTTCAGATATTGTTGCAGGTGTAATGGTTACAATGGGGAGAAGGGTATGGCATACCTGTACATTTTAGCAGAAAATATGTTTTAGGGGTATTGATTGAGGGCATTTTTCAACCCCTTTGCAGTTTCAGCTTGAGTTGTAGGACTGGAAATAGTTCTGCTTAAAGAAAAATCGAAAAATTTGATTGAAATGTACATGGAACATGATAGCTTATAGAGACATCAAATTAGTTGAAACTGCACAAGCAAATTATGACTTCTGGGTCAGTGTTAACTGTATCTTTTGCCTTTCATTTGGAATTCAGGGCTGAAATTGAAGGAAGCAGCACAGCAGCAACAGTTTAATCGGTAAGCACAGTACTGACAAAAAAAAAACGTGTACTCTTCTCCGCCTTGATAGAGTGTTAACATGTATGTCAACACTTTTCTTGTGATATTAACCCAAGTATTAACAGGGTTTTTACAGGCCCTGGAAAACCTCGATAGTCCTAGAATTTTATTTTGACATTTTCCAGTCCTGGAAAGTCCTGGAAAAAGACTACAGATCCTGGGAAGGCTTGGAAATCTGCCTAACTCAAGCAATAATGTTTTCAGAATTTGTGTTGTAAGAAATGCATCTAGACCATAAGAAAAATTGTATTTGAATTCTTGGGAATGAAAGGTTTTGAGGCAAATTTTGGAGTCTTGGAAAATTCAATCGGAGTCCTGGAAATTTGTTTCTGAAAAAGGTTACGAACCCTGTTTTAAGTCCTCACAAATGTGCATCACATGCAGAGTCATAACTCAGGGATTTCATTAAGGGCCGGGCACTGGGCAAATTGACCAGTTGTGAGGATGGTTTTGCCCACCCGGTTTGACGATCTCGAGTAAAGTTTATCTTGTAAAGAAGTTCAGTTCAAAAATTTTTGCCCACCCTTGAAAACCAGTTGCCCTCCTGCTGAAAACATTAATGATACCCCTGATAGCTACTCTGAGAAATTTCTTGTAATATCAATGTTACTGAACACATTTTGAAATGT